TATATTATACACAGTATATTATATAAAAATGGTTGTTGCACCTATGTCTATATAAACAGCATACTTCTCATATGCTACCTCTTATCAGTTTCACGGTTTCTAAGCACAATCACATTTTGTTCCACAAGGTAATGGTTCCTGGCATATGGTGTTTGGTTGTGGCACTGATCCTTTAACTTTTTGCAAGCTTTATGTCTTGGATAGTCCTCATACAAAACTGTGGCTGATAAATCACTTCTTAACAAGCAAACCGATGCTGCTGTAGAATATAATACCACTGAGATTTGCTTTTTGCTGTACCAGGGTATTGAGCTATAGCCAGGGGCGTAACTAGAAATCACTGGGCCCCATAGCAAAATTCTGTATGGGGCCCCCCAAACCGCCTCCGAACCCCTGCTCCGCATCCTACCCTCAACCAACCGTCTCCTTCTCTTCAGTTCTGCTCCTGCTGGCTCTGACCTCAGAGTTGAAGAAGAAATCATTCTGTTGCTGATTTGCTACACTGCGACTGCCTGGCAGGCAGGGCCGGATTAAGCGCATCATGGGCCTGGTGTTGAGGATTTTGGTGGTCCTCTTTATGGAAATGTCAGCACTCACTGGGGCCCTCTTCCTCCTGTCTAGGCTGTGATTTGTAGTCTCTTTACAGCTTGGAGTTAGTGGTGGAGTGCCAGGGCACGGTTGCAGCTGTGACCCAGGTAATTCTGCCACTGACTCCAAGCTGTAGAGGAGCTACAAATCTCAGCATACATGACACAGCAATGAAGAGTGTACTGTACTGAGTGTACTAACAAGTAGGAATACCCCGATATATCGGCCGCAAATTGCACTTTTGGCATAATGCCGAAAGTGCCATTTTTGTGCCAATACAGCGGTGCATCCCTGCTTTCTTTCCTCCCCGCTGGCCGCTGCTCTGTGTCCCAGCAGGGAGGAGAGAAACTGTGACAGCTGGCCGAGCGCTGTGGGAGGAGAGCGATGTGTGCGGCCGGCGTCTCTCCTCCCACACCGCTCAGCCTCCTGTCACAGTCCGGCAGAGCGGTGTGGGGGCGGAGGCAGCCAGCGCTGTCACAGGAGGCTGGGCTCTCCTCCCTGCTCCGCTCGCTCAACCTCCTGTGACAGCGTGTCAGAGAGGAGAGTGAGTGCAAACACTCAGCGATCAGTGATCGCTGGGTGTTTGTAAATGATTGAGTATGGTTACTGTATCCTCAATTATGAATGAATGGGAGTAATCTACATGACCTCCTGTTCATTCATAGTTGTGGTTATAATAAACATACTAGGTCTTTATGTTATCAATGAACAGGAACACTCAGAGGATTCCTGTTCATTGATAACTGGAGCTGCAGAAAAAGAGATTGAGGACTCTGTGTCCTCAATCTCTTTTTCCATTTTACCATTTTAAAAGGGAAATATCAGGGGTCTGTTTAGACCCCTGATATTTCCAAGAAGCCCCTAAAAGTAAAGTTAAAAAAAAAATTTCAATAAAAAATGAATAAATAAAAATAAATATAAAAACATTAAAAAGTTTATAAAAAATAAATCAAAAAAATGTGAAACAATTAAAATAAATAACATTTTCGGTTTTGGCCTGACAAATGTTTTTATTTCGGTACAAGTGTACTGAAAGTACAGAAGCACATCAGGATGGAAATTGACAGCATGGGACAGGGAGAATACTAGGGGGGATGAAAATGACATGAAACCACTGAGGGGGTGCAGGGGAAAGGATAGCAGCCTGGCCAGCATAGCACACATACATGTGGTGTAAACATACATACACATATACATAAATAAACAAACATACTGTATATATACAGGGCTGAGCTGTTGGCAGGGCTCATTCAGTACATATACAGTACATAACATACAGTAAAAGGTTCAATTACCTGATTCTCTGTCCCCCGAGATCTCAGGCCTCCTAACAGCAGGAAGAGACAGCAGAGCAGCTCCGTCCGATGAGAAGAGAGCTGCCAGACGCTGGTGCTGGGAGAACCACACACAGTTCATATGGCCTCGGGCACTGCCTAGGCTTGGTGCCTCACAGACAGTCTGCACAGTGTAGGGACGATGTGAGAGTCCTCGGCGGGTGGCCCTCAACGGACAGCACACAAATGTCTCTGTGAGTGGAGACAGCGGCAGCATGTGACTGCTTCCCCGTGAGCGCGCTTAGAGCCGGTCCTGCCCGTGAGTGACCGCCGGTGCGGTGGCAGCCTTTTTTTAGGGGACACTTCTGTAATTGCCTGCTTATGACCGGGCCCCCCCCTGCCCAGGGCCCCATAGCGACTGCGTGGGTCGCTATGGCGGTAGTTACGCCACTGGCTGCAGCCTTATGGTAACAAGCAACCACTTGTAGATTTTGGAGTACTGTGATCACATGCCCAATGTGAGTCCTTATATTCTTTGAGTTCTGGGTCATCATTTGCACATAATCTCAGGTTCATGTCGTTTTTGGTACTGCATGTCCCTTAATTTTTTCAAGTTCCTTTTCTGGGATTTACTTACATCTCTGGAAAAAGGTGACATGGCAGCTCCTATATCTGAATGTGTTGTGATTTTAATCTGTAAAAATGCCTCCACTACTTCTACTTAACTATTACATTGTTAAATAGAAGATCTTCTCCTCCCAACTTTAAAGTGACGCGCTGGACACTACACTGGACACTACACATGTGCACCGGCAAAAAAATGTTTAGTTTCATCTTGTTTTGATTCGGATTTTGCGTTATTTTGTTTTTCGGGATTTGGACGAAATGCGTTAGCGGTAGTCTGTACGAATGTTCATTTCTGTTTCATGTTCGTTCGTTTCATTGCAGCAAAGTGACATAAAAAAATTATTTTTTTTAATTGTCACTTTGCTGCAATGAAAATTCGTCCACAAACGAAAATGCGTACAGACTAACGCTAACGAATTTTGTCCAGAAAACTAATGTTTCCGAAACGCACATGTCTACTGGACGCAGGGCTTAGGGTTACGTTGTTATGTTCACACCATAAGCATTGTATTCCAGTCCGACTCTGGCCAGATCGCAGTGCGGGCGATCGCATTGCGGCCGGAGGTCGTGGCCACACCCCCTCCGGCCCGGTAAATAAGTGAGCCAGCCGATATGTGATGCAAGTGGTGTGAACAGACCCTAAAACGGTACCAAGAACACGGCTGCAGGAGCAGCCATGTTCTTGGTATAACCACTTCCAGCGGAGGACGTACATTTACGTCAACCCTCGGGAAGTGGTTAAAAAAAACACACACACTTAATGAAACAAACACACATATCACACACATATCACACACTCATTAAAAAAACACACACACACAGCTTCATTTAAAAAAAACAAAAAAAAACACACTCTCACAACTATTAAAAGTAAAAATAGTTAATTAAAAAATTTCCCCCTCTCCTGCTGACCTGTTTTGCAGGAAGGGGGGCTGCATCCTTGGGTCCAGTTTGGCACTTGGGGGTTATCCTGGTCGGGTGGTCGAGTGAAGGATCAGTGTGCTCTGCACTCTGGCTGGTGCAGACCATACTAATTGCTCCCTGCCAGTCAGTGGCGGAACCACGAGGGATCGATCAGTATGATCTGCATCAGCAAGAGATGCAGCCCATACTGATTCCCCTCTGGACCACCAGGGAATGATTTCCATTTAATATATTGCCAGTTTGGCAATATATGAAATGTAATGTGGGCACTTGCCAGGTTTAAAGATGGCCGCCGCTACTCATGGCGGCCATCTTTAAAAACCTAATGTGCAGTGGAGACCCCCTGGGGACACCAGAGGCCCGTACAGAGCACCTTAGGTGAGGATATGAAGTGTACGGGCCCCGGCTTCCTCTGGTGCTGCGGGGGCCCGGCCGCCTCCACCTCCCACCAGGCACCTGTATGGCCGTTGGCCGATACACATGTAAGCTGCCCGGGCCCCTTACATGGGTATCAGCGGTACCCCCCCTGACGTCTAAGTAAAAAACAAAGTTATACTCATCTGAACCGCGGAGCCAGCTTGTTAGACCGGTCCTTCCACCCTCTCTCTCCCTCCTTTGCAGGTGTCTAAGGTCTAAGTAATGATCCCTCTCCTTGATACCACAAATCCTTGGGTTGTTTTGCAGGCTTTACAGAATAAGGGAGCCCATGCATCATAAGTTTGAGGAAGCATGAGAATCAGAGTCTTCAGGGTCACTGAGGATGACACTATCGTGAACTACCTCCTCCCAGCCACATACTACTCCTTGGGTTTCTGGGGAAAACCATCCCTTGAGGACTGCCGTATGTCATCCTTT